TTACACTAACTATGTTATAACTTAAGATCACTGACTTATCCAAGCAACTAAATTTCAGGGAGAAAAAACTTCTATCAAAAAAATTGATTTTTTGAAGAACGATCATGTAGTACCGTCCACATAACCACTAACAACCCAATGCAACTCAAACTAAAAAAACAAAAAATAAATCCCAATGCAACTCAAACTAAAAAACAAAAAATAAATCCCAGAATTACAATTGTCACCTTGACACGTCAAGATTGCATAAGAACTACAAATTCACTACATCCATGATGCAAAAAGTTATTGAAAACTAGCAATGATTAGAGCTTCTGGAATTGGGTTTTGGCCCTTTATTCGAGAATATATATTGCTTTGCAAGAAAACCTGATCGGCTATTGAAATACTTTTCTGTTTTTAACTTTTTGATCAAATGCAATGAAAAGCTAGTAACTGGACAAATCAACAAGACAGGATCTTTTACCTGATTATGATATGCAATAGAGGAGCTAAAAGTGTTGCTTTGCTTCTCCCTGGAACTTCAACGAGAGGGAAGAGGCGGCGGTGGTGAAGGCGGTGGCGGGGGAGCAGAGCTGAGAGGTTTCAGACTTTCAGTCGCCGTACTGTCTTGCAGGATTTGGCTTTGGGTTCTTTTTCAAAACGACGTCGTTGGTAAAGAGATCACTCTATTTTCCGGTGATTGGGCTTGTTTTGAACTAACTTCCGGTTACAGAAAGTGTGTTTAAGCAAAGAGATAATTCATGGGCTAGTTCTGTTGCCAACCACTTAGCCCAAGTTTGTGAAATTATTTCCCCAATTTGGGCCGGCTAATGGGTAGTAGTTGTTTTAGAAAGATTTCTGACAGAGCACGCCCTCTGGGTGTGCAAATACAATTTTTTTTTTGAATTTCATAAAAAAAATATATAAATTAATAGTTACAAAAAGAAGTTATTGGAATATATTTTAAAAGTAGATTCCTATTATTACGGGAAACATTCGAATTTGGATTTGAAAAATGGTCAATATTTTCAATTTGTCTTTCTCCAAATTACTAATTTGTTGCTCAAAAAAATTATTAATTAATCACAAAGTTGCATCTTTAATATTACCCAATAACTATGCAATATTTTCGTTTCTACAAACAAGTAAATTTGTATGCTGAAATCTTGAAACATAATTCGTGGTAGAATTTGTAGATACCAAATTTTTGTCAATTTTTAATATTTTCTCAGAATTTTTCTATTTAATAAGTTATTTATTTTATTGTATTTTAATGTATATTTTCTCATTTTTGCAGGTTTGCTTTACGAAAAGAGAAAAAAAAAACAACAAAACAACAAAAATCAAAAAAAAAATCAAAAAATCATTTTGATCATTTTGTTTCACCAAATTAACTATTAACCCATTTCACACTCAATGGCCATGGACTTGTCTTTTCATTAATTGAGAAATCATCATTTTGGAAGATTCAGCACACAAGCTCCATTTTGGCTACAAGACATCTCTCGGCTCTCTCCAGGACAGAAGAAGGAAGAAAGGAAAAAATTTTCCCTCCCTCTCTCGGCTAGCTCTTAACAGACGAGAACAAAAACCAAACAAAAGAAAAAAAAACTACTTCCTCAATCTCCTCTCTCGGCTCTCACGGACAGAGGACAAGAAGAAAAAAAAGACTCCACCCTTTTGGCTCAATTTGCTCTCTCGGCTCTCTCCCTCATCAGACAAGAGGAACAAAAAAAAAAGGGGGGGGCTCCCTCTACACATTTTCTTCCACAAAATCCAAACACATTTGCACACAACAAGGCAGCAATCGGTTGGATTGGAGCTTGGCAATTTCATCAAAAATCTTGGCAAAGGGACCAAACTCTTCATTGAGGTATTTATCTCCCTTTTTTCCAGCTTTTTTTTTAATTAATTAACTAGATTGAATGTATGTGTGGTTACTTTTTTTATTGCTTATTTTTGCTGGTTTTTGTTGGTGTTGTATGGATGAAATTTTGGGATGGGTCATGAACAAAATTAGGAAAAAAAGAAACGGTGCTGTGAATGCATGCCAAATGTTTGAAAAAATGTTTGAATGAAAAAATGAATCAAAGGAGTGAATTTGGTGTGTATGTTTTGCTTAAATGGATGACCATTAGCTAGCAAAGATCTGAAAATGCTTGGTTATCCAAAATTTTGGGAGTTTTTGAGCCTTCAAAGCATTAGAATAATTTTCTTCATTTTTGGGGCTGTTTTGACTTAATGCTTTATTTTGTTGTTGTTTATTTGTCAAACTAAGATTATAGTTGTAATGTAGAAGTTATCAGGAGGGTTTTGGCATAATTTTTATGATTTTTGGTGAAGATGTGAAGGTTTTAAAAAATAAAAAACTGAACTGATTTCTTGGCATTTTGACCGCTTTCGACTCATTTTTTGTAAAAACTAACTCCGGAAATGGAGTCTACGCGAAAAATCGAGTGAGGGGGTGTATTTTGAGGATTTTTGGTGACCGGAGAGGTCACCGGCGGTGGCGGTCGGCGGCGGCGGCGCCACCGGCAGCCGCCATGGCCTCTTCAGCTGGCCGAACAAGAAGAAGAGGAAACGGAAGGGGAGAAGAAGAAAGAAAAGAAAGAAAAGAAAAGAAAGAAAAAAGGGAATTGGGCTAATGTTTATTTTTTTTAATGGGCCAAGAGTTAGTTTTGGTTGGGTTTTGGAGTTGGGTTCTGGTTTATTTTTTTTTTGGGTTTTCCGTTGGGCTAAGAGGTTGGAGCCCATGTATTTTGGCTGGGTTTGAGGGATAAAAGGACGGGCTGGCCTGTGTGTTTTAGCTTGGGTTTTCAGTTGGGCTTAGGTAGGTTTGGCCCAAGTAAAATAAAAGAGCGGCCCGATGCCCTTGTTCTTGCCCAGATCTGGTTACGATTTGCACTTTGGCCCCTGATCTTTGGAGTAGTTTTATTGTGGCCCAGAACATTTTAAATTCCTTTCACCTAGATCCTTAAATTAATTGCACTTTGGTCCTTGAATTTTATCTTTCATTTAATTTTGACCTCTAAACTTTGGAAAATATAATTTTTGGCCCCAAAAATTTTTCAATTTTTGCAATTCAGTCCCTAGTGAATTTTGACTCTTTTTATTGTGATTGTTTCTTTTCTTTAATAGCTAATTATGTTACTTTTGAATATATTTAACTTGCAATTTTTTAGATGTTCTTAAATTTCTTTGCGTTTGACATGTTAATGTGAATTTAGTATTTTAACATTATTATTTTCAATTAAAATGGTGCCATGATTCTTTTGTTCATTGTGAGTATAAATAGGACAATTTGACTTCATTTAGTCGCCACTTCAAACGGGAGGTACTCTTATTTTTATTATTTCAATGTCAATTACGTGCTCCTATGTGCTCCTACGTGTTCCTATGTGTTTATATATTTTATAGGCTTTTGTTTATTTTGATTTGAATGTTCATTTAAATTTTCTTATGTTTGTTTAGTTAATTTTATAATTATTTGATAGGCATTTAAATACATCAAAAATGTAATAGATAGGATAACTAATTTTATTTTATCATATCTTTCCCATTTTAGATTGTAGTTAGATTCCCCAATGTAATAGATATGTTGCATGTTTATGTGGCTTATGTGTTATGTGTTTTATCCGTTTTTTTTAGGATTTTGGCATCTAGATATTATGTTTACGTGTTATGTGCCACGTGCCCCTATGTGTTTACTTGTTTTAATTTATGCTTTATTTGTTTCACTATGAATTGTTAATGCATGACGTCACCACACTAGTCCAACGCTAGTTGTGGCTTTTCCCTCCGCTTACTTGCTAGTCCAACGCTAGTAAGGATTTTTAGAAATGGGCTAGTCCAATGCTAGACCCTTTAGGTCGTCTTGCGCTAGATTCATTTTTGTGTGCTATTCACTACATTTTCATGCATATTTTTATTTTTAGGATCTTTTCTCATTTGTATGATATTCCCTATTATATTATCCCTTACCCGCTATAGGTGCTAATCATGTCATTTAGAATTGCATTTCATTTAGGACATTGTATAATAAGTTAGCTCATTTGCTTGTGCATATTAAGAGAATTATTTTTTTCAAACATGGGAAATGGGCGATTATAACTTTTTAGTTTAAATATCCCATTAATCCCTCTATAAGAAAATTACGTCACGAGTTTTTTGTCTCCCGTACCCTTTATGTTGCATCCCCTCTTTCTTTGATCACTTATATCTATGTATATGATTTAATTTTTTTTTCTTTACTTTAAATTCATCATTTGCATGCTCGTGACACTTTCAAGGAATTATTTTGGCCTTCGTAATTAATGCGATTGGTTCAATTAAACCCTTGAATGAACATTTTGTCCCTTTCGATATTTAGATTTGCATCCATGTAGGAAACATCCAAATATGATAAAATTAAGGGTTAGATTAGGAAAATTTTGACTAAACCTCGCAACTAGCTTAGACTAGGTTGAAAGGGTGTCTTAGGTTTGAGTCAATTGAACCTTTGCCTTCCCTTTCTTCAACCGTGATTCCCGAACTCATTTTTTCTTGTTTTCAAAGACCTGGAGTTGTCAAAAAGGGTTTTATTTTATTTTATTTTTGGGTGACTTGGTACACCAAAATTCCATATCAAGTGGGTGACTCCTATTTTTTCTTAAAAATCCTTTTAACTAAATTTTGGACCAAGAATTGTCGCATTCCTTTTAAGTCCGCATTCTAGTCTTTTCATTTATTATCAATAAATCACATCTTTTAAACACCTTCTCCTTTCTTCTATCGCGAAAATGGGGCGCGCAACAGAAATCCATGGCGCGGACTCTAAGCCGAATTTGATCCTACATGATCATGGCTTGATTCTGGTTGGATTCAAGTCAAACATTCCATTTGTAACTTGTTCAATTTGCGCAGCTTGCTCAATAATTTCACCTCTTTTGATGGACAATTTGCAGACATTTTAACAGTAAATTTGAGATTCTAGAATTGTACGCCAAAAGAAATGCCAAACTTATCTATTATCATGGGTATAAAGCAAAGTAGTACCAGTATTCTTCTCACATAAAACTCAAAAAATGTATATCTGTATTTCCCTCTAACAAAAAAAGCTAGTCAAATTATTCAGGTTCCCCAAAGAGCTATCTATCTAGCATAGCATGAAGAATTGTACAACAAGAGAACATTAAAACCTAACCCACAATATGGTTTTTTTAATGTCTTTCAACAATCAAGATAAATTGCAATCTTTTTTTTTTTTTCGCTGAGGGAGTGGGTGTTCGGGTCAATCCGTACGGGGCCTGACTAATCCCACTCCAGCCCAGGAGGAGAGGCCCCCATCCCCCGAACACGATAACCACAGGATTCGGATCCTTGCGGGCACTAGACACCAGATCTTAAGGAGGCTTGCTGAGACCAATCGAGTTACCCATGAGGGACAGATAATTTGGTGGGAGGCAAGGGATGAACCCCTGACCTTCCACTCCATCAGGAGAGGTGGAGCTCAGTGGTTAGATAAATTGCAATCCAGTGCGCACTTTTCAGTAGCGACGGTAGGTTCTCTTGTCAAAAAAAAAAAAAAAATTAAAGAAGCTCCATATACTTCATTCTAATTGGCTTTTATTTTGACAAAGTCAAGGGATTTCTTTCCATCATGAGCATGTCCAACATGATTGCTCATGTACTCTTGAAACATAACTTCTCGGTAGACAGCTCCACCATCAACCTCTACAACATGAGGGAGAGGACCTATCTTCTCAGTTGGCCTTGGGAGATTGAAAACTGGAATAGAAATTCTTGATTTTTTGCTTGTGGTACGCACTCCATGCTCAGCACTTTTGTACCTTCCATTGCTTAGGATCTAAGGTGCAGCAAAAGATAAGAAGGTAAAAGTACAAAAAAAAAAAATGTTAAGATTCTTAATCAAGATAGCAATCGAATCGTTGTTTGTTTTAGCCAACCTCCAAAAAGTCATTGAGTTGGGAAATTATGGGAAAATGGATCTGGTTTTGATCAAGCAAATGAATACCAGTTCAGTTTTACTGCATACATTGCTACATCTTGGTCGTCTTATAGTACTTCTGCTCCAATAACTAACTAAAATTTCCATTTTTCTACATCTCAATGAAATTTAGTGCATAATAACAATCAAACATACGAGCAATACTAAAATAGATAATTGTGCAAACATATATGTTCGGTTGATCCAGGAAAACAGCCAACTTAACCTAATTAGCTAACTGAACAGCAGATTTTTGTGAATTGTATTAATTTAAGGGCAAATTACAATTCACCCCCATGTGGTTTAGTGTTTTATTATGTAATCCTCCTATGGTTTCAAAAGCTATACATAACCCCATCATGATTTGGATTAAAGTATCAAAGTGACGAAATTTGCAATCTATAACGAAATCAACTAAAATATCAAAAAGACCCCTATGTAAAGTGAAAAATTATTTATTAATCACAGGGGAGTTATGCACATATATTGAAAATTATAAGGGGGTTATATGATAAAACATTAAAGTATAAGGGGGTTATATGATAAAATATAAAATTATACAAGGGTTAGGGTATCATATATATTATGTTTATGTAGTTTGGTCATTTAATCCATTTTAGTTTTTAAACAAAGGTAATTTTGACATTTTCTTAGGTTCCGTCACGGATAATCATTTCCGTCACTTTGACACTTTAATTCAAATTATGAGGGGGTTATATATAGTTTTCAAAACTAGAGGAGGTTATGTAAAAATTAGAGCAAAGTGTAATTTGCCCTTAATTTAACATGCTCTAAAGAAGTAATGAATATGGTCACTGACTACGAACTAACCTGTAATGAATCCCCAGCATTAACAACTAAAGCACCTGGGATTGGTGGAATCTCTATCCACTCTTCTTTTCTGCCATCAAGTATATCTTCTTCAAGCTTTACATATAAACCTCCAACATTATCTTGCAAAAGCACAGTCAAGATGCTCATATCAGAGTGGCGCCCCACACCAACAGTCAGTTCCGGATTTGGGCAAATTGGATAGAAGTTCATGTTGACTATCTTATTGCCAGTTAGTGATTCCAGTCTAGAGTCATCAAGGGCCACCCCAAGATTTCCAATTAAGATTTCCAACAGCCTTCTCACCATCTTAGAAGATAACTTCAAGTATTCAAGTGCCTCTTCCCTGAGGAAATAATCCCAAGGCCAAAAGATATATAAGTACCCCTTAAATATAATTAACAGGGCGACAAGTAATATTTAAAGAGTGACTATGGATAGACAAAGTATATGGTGAATCCTTTATTGAGAAACTAAAATCATGCTGATACTACTAAAATTGGCAACATGTAAAATCCACCATTATAAGCCAGAGAGCCCTAGCATTTAAATTTATGTAACATCAATTCAAAGTCGATCTATAATTGATGACTTCTTAAAGTAATAATGTTTCAATTTGTAGTTCTTAGCAAGGTTTTCAAAATCTATCTAAATCCCACCCAAGCTAGTTTTGAGGTTTATACTTCTAAATTGATTCTACTATAATTCTATTCCTTGTGCTATAGGATTTTGAACCCCCCCCCCCCCCCCACCAAAAAAAAAAAATCTTGGGGTCGTAGCTCTCTCCCTAATTGGCTAATTGAGATAATCAAGAAAACTCACTTGCACACTTTAGGCCAATGCTGTTGTGCATCACCATCATTGGTGTAAACCATGCTAACAAAATCTTTCCATTCCAGAGCCTTTTCTTGCTCGGGTGCAAAGCTTGTACCATACTTCACAAAGGGACTGGGACTGACCCTCTTCAGATAAACAGCTTTAGCATCTGCTGGCTGTGCAAAAAACCGGTGTGCAGCATTTTTCAGGGACTCCAGCAGGTCGAAAGACACACCATGGTTGATCACCTGAAAGAACCCTAGTGTCTCAGCAGCTCTAACAATGGCCTCGACCACTTGATCATGGTCGGGACCATCAAGCTTTGATAAATCAATTGGGACTGAGAAGTGATCTTTGGAGCTTTGGACAACTTTCACAATTCGCTCAGATGGTGGTTGGATGAATCTTTCTGGTACTTTTGTAATTCCTGAATCCACCAGACCCTTGACTCCGTTGCCATCTTTCACAACAAAATCGAACAAAGAGTTGCCATCATCAAAAGTTGGTGCCATTTTGTTATGAAGGCTGTTTAAGAAGGTGGTGCACGGAATCTGATTAGTGGTAAATGAAATTGGGTCCCTTGTGACTTCCATTAAATAGGCAAGGTCCATATGGTGCTGTAAATTGATAGTGCTATTGAATAATTCAATATTTTACTGAGGAGAGCAAATTATTCAATATTTTAAGGAGGAGGTGAACGATGCCTTTTTTCACTTACGAGTTTGAATTTCTGTTTAATTTGTTCAGTTGTGTATAACTTTGATATAAATTAGTACAATTTTAGTGGAATCGTGAGTTTTACATCAATTTAGTATAACATTTACATTTATATTCAAATTATACACATTTATACTGAATGTTAAGCCCATTACACAACTGGAGAGGCCCCGTTCCAAACTAAATTGTGATTTTTTACAAAAAAAAAATTGTATTTTTTCTTAACATATTTTTTTAATTAATTTTTTATTTCATGTATATTAAATTATTAATTTACATTTTTTTTAAAAAAATCCTAAAAATAACAATACAATCAGGGCTAAAGGCGTGAAAAAAAATTGTTTGATATGATAGCTTAGAATTATTGGTGAAAAAATGTTGGCTGATGTGATAGCTCGCAATTATTGGCAATTGGATACCGATGGAATAAATGGGCACCGTAAGATTTACCAATCCGGGGACAAACAAGTGCCCTATCCCTACAATGCATTATTGTTTCCTCCCTCCCAGTATGGCCAGCGTATAGAATTTTGCAACCAAGAAAGCAATGATGCCCTTCGAATAGAAGGAGGAGGACATTGTTGATCTTTCATTTTGCTGTAACCAAGATTCCATACGATTAACACGATAACTATTACTCCTTACAAACTGTCAAACTGCAGCATCTACAACATCTTAGTCTAAAGTATACCTGGTAATTGGACGCGTTTGACAGGTTTTGGATGGGTTGATATTAGATTTTTATTTAAATGAATTATATTCAATTCGTCCAATTTTAAATTGGATTGATTTTGGGTTGATTTATATTAAGTCATTTTAAACTCATGATCCAATATATTAATTAATACATGTTGATATATAAACTTTCGCACATGTATTTTAATACACAAAATAATTTTTCACACACATAAACATATTTTCACACACTTTTACACACACAAACATACACTCACTTCTTACACTTCTTGGAAACACATCATAAATAGAATAATATTTTATATTGCTTGTATTGTGAATTTTAGATAATAAACTGTACATTTAAATATATTAGCTAAAAAATTTGTTTACTTTATACTTTTTAATACTACTAATTGATTAAAGCTTATTTTCATCACAACTTATTTAACACTTTTACTATTCATATATGCTTTTATTGTAAGTTGTATTATTCTATGTATTTAAATTATTGAATGCTAGATTATATTATGCGTGAAAATGTAATTTAGAGACATATACTTTGTTGTGAGGAATTATTAACAATAAAATAAACCAAGTCAGAAAAAAAAAGGTAAAAAATTGCAATTAGAACAAATTTAAAACTCTATTCTATGTACATGAAATATTAACAAATAGAAGCAAGTAGCAACTTGAGAACAATAACCAAAAGGAAAAAAAAAAGGGGAGGAAAACAAGCATAATAAATCATTATAGAAGTCGAGCAAGTTTAACTATTGTTGTAAAAGTAAAATAAGTATGAGCTTTTATTTCAACTTTCATTTTTTCTTTTAAATAAAAATTATTGAAAACATATATATGAGAATTGTGAATACAAATTGGTCAATAAATTGTTAACACATGTCCAAATGCACGTGGTTGGCATATGTGAATCTTGTATTTATTATTTTGAATTATTTTTAAACAAATTGGGTATTGAGTGCCCAAATAAAAAATTCAATCCGTCTAATGAATAAGTTAGATTGTTCTTACCCAACTCAACAAAACCAATAATCCAACTGACCCATCCCATCTTTTAAAATTGGTGGAGGAGTTCGGTGGGTTGTTGGGTTTATTTGCCAACTTTAGTTTAGAGGGAAGCAACGAGCATTACGTTTTAGATCATTTATCAAAATCGACATTTCATTGATCCCATAGTTAGACACCAAGTTGGCCAAAATGCTAAAATATATCTGTACATGTATTCTAATTCTAAGGTCTTGTGCACATACACTGAATGTATGTTAGTTCAATATTATCAAATTTTAATTTAGCATGCAAAATTTTGCTTACATGAACTAGTAACTAGAACAAGAAAAATATAGTTATTCATTTAAATGCATTTTTGAATAAGGTGAGTTGCTAGTTTATTTTAATTCTTCACTTAGTGAAAACTAATTCATTTACTAAGAAAGTGGGTCAACATCAGACCATGAGAGGATTTTGAATTAGGAGGGGTAAATTTGATCATTTTCTTTTTGGTAACAAACACATTAATAAGTTTACAAATCGGTTAATTAATCCACTTGAATCATATATCTATGAACTTTTACTTGTTCTAAGATCTCTCTTATTTTTTAAAGTACAACAGAAAACTGGTATCTGTTCTTGGACTTAATTAATTGAGAGGGAAATGCCGAATTTGAGATAAATTTAAATGCAGTCAAGGCTAAAAGGAGAAGATAATATGGGCCATAATTAAATTCCATGGATGCCCCTACTTCGTTGTGTTTGCACCAAAATTGGTTAAATGAATCAAGAGCAGATCATGGCACAATTGTTCATCAAAACAACCAGAAAGCAATTTAGAGTCAAACTCATGATACGAATTATAAAAACCTACAAAAGGCATCAATAGAGTTCCTTTTTTTTTTTTTTTTTTTTTTTTTTTCTTTTTGGTGTTTGTGATAAGAGGAAGATTGGAATTTATCAATAACCCCAGTAGCATTGGCTAATTTCTTATATTATAGCCGAAAAAAAAAATCGGTGAAATATTGTTATGACAAATGCATATTCTCATACTATACCTATCGTGTTGATTAAGGACAGCAGATGACCCACACATTTTTAAAAAAAAAAACAGGTCAAGGCTACTGTGCTTAGTCAGTATGGTAACCAATAATTGCAACAACCAGGCCTGCCATGCTTACAAAGCACTGTAGCCTTAATTTTTTTTTTTTTTTTTTTGAAAGGTAAAGGCTAAGCACGGCAGGCAATCTTCCCATTTGCTAAACCTTTTGCAAAGGCTTCCCAATTGCTAAATTGGAAAGAATGGGCAACATGTGTTGGGAACCTAGGAGTTGAGAATGTGCGAAAAAACCTGGCTAAGCTATTCCCAAATTTTTTTTCAACTAATGGATTCCAAAACAAGCAAACAAATTCTATTTTTCTTGTAATGTCATGCAAGAGTTTAGCTTATTGCTTGAATATTTCAAATTTTACATGAAACGTTATCAATACTTATTCCTTTTTCATTTTGCAAAAATAGTTTGAATATTTATATATTATCTATCAACATATTTCTCACATTTTCAGTAGCAAAATTTAAGTACTCAATTTCTCAAAAGATGCTATCATTTCTTATTAAGTGAGCCAACATGTGTTGACTTCTGGTACTTATCCAATGGCTTAGTCCTTATTTGGATTGTTAATTTTTGTGAAAAAAATTTACATTTTCTTGAATATTTCTTTTACATAATTTTTTAATCATTTTTTTATCTTGCATATATTACATCTTAAAAAGAAGTATTTTAGTAATTATTTCTCAAACTTTTTTTATAAAAAAATCTAAATAAATATTTGCTAAACGTTATATTTAAAATGGAAAGAAAATACTTACTTACAAAAAAAAAATCTACCCCAAATAAAAGGGTATAGCTAAAGATTTGCTAAATTGTTTCAGGTAAAATGGAAAAGAAATACTTGTATTTTAATGCGAAGTACTACCAGGATTAGCCTAAGAGAGAGAAAGGGCGGACATGGATGGGGAGAAAGGCACGTGTTTTTATCCTACAAAGCTATCCTCTTCTATCCTATACCTGCAAAACAATGACAAGCTTTGCAAACAACCGTGCAGCCGTTTTTTTTTTTTTTGACTGACAGTGATAGTTTTTTAAAAATTTCTGTGCTGCCGTGCTTAGTAAGTTAGGCAAGCATAGTTTAAGGAAGACCAACTTGTCAGAACTACAATCTAAGTAATTATCCAGTAGCATTGCTACTAAGCAAATTGTAATTCCTTTTCTTTGTAGGTAAAAAGAGGTTAAGAATTTGTGCAAATTGCAAGCTGTAAAAGTGAAGGCCAGGCAACCCGTTGCAGTGAAACACAATCATTTTCTTTGCTTTTTCTACTGCCCAAATATTGGGAGTGTTTGGATAGCAGATTTTTTTAAATAATATTTTACTTATATCATAAACATATTTTTCAATCCATCTTTTTATATTTTTAGTTATTTTTTTTATCTTATATACATCACATCACAAAAAGTGCTACAGCTACAGTAATTATTCTAAATAATATTTCAAATAATACTTTATCCAAACAGACTGATTATTATTAGAAAAGATTCCTCCCGTCCGCGCTTGCTTCCGCTCTTATTTTACAGTTTAAATCCTCTATCCGTCTATCCCGCTAATTTGTTTGAATTATCAATGTATCAATGTACGTGACAACTATATAAACACAAAATAGAGAGGACAAATGGTGATTTTGGAACAAAGGATTTGAAGGCTTATTTTTTTGCCTGATTTGTAATAAATAAATTCTTTTACAACTTTATCTATAGCAATCTTTTAAAAATATTCTAAATTTTTTTTAAAATACCCCAAAAATATGCAAACTTTTTTCTTTCCTTTCCTTCTTTTTTTTTCCTTCTCTCCTATCTCAACTCACCAGTCACCACTACTAGTCGATAACACCGCCGGTTGGCATCTTTTGTTTTTCCCCTCCCTATCCTTTCCCCTCTTCTCCTCTTTCCTCCCTTCTTTTCCTAACCCCATCTCCAACCCCTTCCCCTGATTGACGACTAGATCTCTTTGCATGCGATCAGATCTTTGGTTGCCTACTAGGAAAAAGGGTAGGAGGATGGGATTAGGGAAAGTGGGACAAGGGAGAGAAGGAGGAGAAAGGAAAAGAGAGGAG